TAGAACTGAACTAGAACTGAACTAGAACTGAACTAGAAACTGAACTAGAACTGAACTAGAACTGAACTAGAACTGAACTAGAACTGAACTAGAACTGAACTAGAACTGAACTTGAACTGAACTAGAACTAACTAGAACTGAACTAGAACTAAACTAGAACTGAACTAAAACTGTACTAAAATAACCCAGAACTTAACAGAACTGAAGATCCTGATTTTTTTAAAGTGTATTAAACCGCTTGAAATAAAATTAATTATAAAAAACGAACTAAATATTTTTTTTTTTATAAAAAAACATAATAATAAAAAATAAATTACCAAAGTAGAAATCAAAGCAAATAAATAAAAACACAATAGATTTGGGTTCTTTTTTTTAATTATAAATAACGATCGTATATTTTTGTTTTGTTTCTTTTAAATAAGATTAATTGCATTTAAAATATTTTGTTGTTGTTGTTTTTATTTGTATTTAAATGTATAATAATGTTATGTAAACATATTAAAAGATCAATAAAACTTTGTGGTTATTATTAAAATAAAATAATAATAATAATTGATTGATGAATATAATTATAATAAAAGAAAAGTTTAGGGAAGTTCAGGCATGTGATTTTGCACAATTCATTTTTTTTTTTGTTTTAATAATTTTTCATTTGTAGTTTATTTTATTATATAATTTTTTAAAATTTTTTGCACGCAATAACAAATTTTTAAGATCATTTTGAGTAAAATTTGCAAAACAAGATCATTTTCATTTGAAAGTAAAACTTAAATTCATAAATATCATTTAAAAAAAAAACAACATTATTTTGCATAAAAATATCACTTAAATTTAACAAGAAAAAAATGGTTATAAGTATAATATAGTAAAAATATAATAAACAATTTTAAAAATATATAAATTTTGACAATAGAATTTTAATAACTAAAAGTAAAACAATAATTATAAAAAAAAATATGTTGTATAAGAAAATGGCCACTATCACGAATTTCATTCAAATCACGGGTTAAATAAAATAACAAATGACAATTTTTTTTTATAACAAATTTATAACATGAGATTTTTTTGTTTTTAAATTTAAAACAATTTTTTTTAAGGGAAGAAACAGAAATCTTATTTGAATTTGTTTTTTAAGAAAGAAAATAAAATCAACAAATTATTAGGCACATTTTATGGTAAGTTTAGAAATAGTTTAATAATATTTAAGGGCATTTTGTTTTAAGCTTGCCACTTAAGGGTAAAAATACAATCTTAGGGCTGCGGAGACGGTTATTTTCTTTATATTAAGTTTTGACAACTTAAATCGTTTCAATTTAATATTTATTTTAATTTGTTTGTGAATTTTCACTGTCTCTTACATTTAGAGTTGCCAAGCCATTTATTCTTTGTATGAACAAATATCATGCGTTTAATATCTTACTGTGAATGCCAGGTAAAAAGAGAATATAAATTGTGAAATACTAAAATAATAAATAAATGTCTACAAATCCGCGGCCGCACTTTTTTTAATTTACAAATTTTGTTGTTTTGTGCTTTGTATTTCTACTCTAAACAAATTTAAATATTTTTGCTTCAAAATTAGTTTTTTTTTGAAAAATAAATTGAATAAAATTCATAATAGTTGGTGGTGGTTGTTTGTTATTAAATATATAAAATATTTAAACAAAATAAGCCAAGTGTTTTAATAACAATTTTAGGTTTTTTTAATTATTTAAAAATTAGCTTAAAACAAAATTAATTCAAAATGGTTTTTAGTTCAAAATGTTTAATTTGTGGTAGATTTTTTTATGTTTTTCTTTAAGGTTTGAAACATAGTATTTTTTGTAAAAGTATAATTTTGTATTTTAGTTTTAATAAAATATTTTTTTTTTTTTTTGTAAAAGAGCTCTTGTTTTTTATCTTTTGTTTTTAGAAGTATAGTTTTTAATTAATTTTTTTTCTGTTTGTTATGCTAATTAATTAATTTTTCTCAGTGTACCATAGTTGCAATTAACCTATTGTGTTTTCGTTTTATTTTATTTGTTTTTATGACAAAAAGTTTATTTTATTTAAATAATTTAAGGATTTTTATTATTATTTCTTGTTGGGAGGGGGAGGGGCAATAAATTGTTCTATGTTTTTTATATTTTTTAACTTGTTTTGTTTTGTATTTTAATTATTTAAGCTAATTATGGTTAAATGTGTTTATTTTTTTTTTAATAAGTAATTTTAATGTAAGTGGATAATAGTTATATTATTTTTGTTTATGGTTGTTATTTATTGTTTTTATATTTTACAGTTTTTATTAACTATTTATTTTGTTATTAGTTTTGTAATACTTATATTTTTCTGTTTATTTTAAATATTTCTTTTTATAAAATTTACCATAACGTAATTATTTTTTTATAATAAAATTGTTCTAGTTTGTTTTATTATATTGTTAATTATAGCTTAAGATTTGTGTGGTTGGGATTATTTTTGTTTTGTTTTAATTTTTAATCATAATATTTTTGTTTTTTTTTTTCTTTAACTTATTTAAATGATTTTTAACTGTGTTTTTATATGCAAGTTGCTCTTATGTTTTCTGTATTTATAGATTTTTTTGTATATTTTTTATTTTTTCGTTTATAATACTTAAAAACTAAAGAAAAAAATTGTCTAGAATCTTATAAAATAAATCTTTAATAAAAATAATTAAAATATAATAATAATATATATGCAATATTGTATATGGTGTAAACAAAATTAAACATTTGATTAAAAATAAAAAACAAAAAAAAATTATATGTATATATAAAAAAAATTAAAAATAAATAAAAAAAACACACATTATTAATGTAAATATTGAAGTAAATGTTATTACAGACGAACAATAAAACAATTGAACAACATTTTATTTAAACAATAATAATAATTGTTAAAACAACAACTAATTACAAATCTTAATAATCATTTATATATATTGGCCATAATTTTTTGATATGATATGTTTATAAATTAACATAAAATTAAAAATGTCAAACATATTTCTCTCTGTGCAATGTTTGTTAATGTCAAGCTTGTCATGTAAACAAATGTAAACCCAGCAAAAAATTTAAAGAGATTTCTACTTTTATCATTCCTTTGACAACATAATAAGACAATATAAAGAGATTTCTACTTTTATCATTCATTTGACAACATAATGGTTGAAGTTAATAGTCAGGCAGTAGTTGTAAACTTTATAGGAAAAGTTTTTAAATATTTAGGCCTTTTTAAGGGGAAAAATTTCAATTGTCTTTTTGAAAGAAATTCTATTTACATAAGTACTTGTTAAAAAGAACACTAGGGAAGAGATAAATCTTAATATTCTAAACATCAGGGCATTAATTTGTTTCTACAAGTGATTTTGAAACGGATAAGTCAATTCCGTAAAAAAGGCATCAAACCTTTTTCACAAAAAATCCAAAAAAAAGTTTAAACTTTTAACTGTTCGAATCTAATTGCAAAGATACTTCTCTAAGCCCCGGTAACTTCACCTCTGGTTATCGTTTAACCGGTAGATATTCTGCCGGTTAAAATATTTTTTTGTATAAAAACAGTCAATTCAACCTTACGATAAAATATACCAAGACATTGAGATAGTGGGCGTAAATCGAATAAATCAGAATTGTTTTAAGATTCTTCGATAGAAGTCCAAATGCTGCTCGTAAAGCATTCGCTAGGATCCCAATTCGCTTACAAACGAAAATTAGCTAAATGTTTGAAATTTTTCTCAGGAATTAGCGATAACTTGGAGAGAGAAAAGTGACAGATAAAAATTATTATTAAATTTCCCTTGCGAAATAATACCGTTTAAAAGTTTTCGAGAATATGCTTAAGTCCTCATTAAAGAAACTTGGAAAAGAGAGACAAACAAAGTGACAGTTAAAATCTATGAGCATTTTCTAATCTCAAATTTAACAGCATATCAACTACATAATTCTTTAAGTACATAAATTTTAAATTTTAACAAAATATAGTAAAATTATTTATAAATAAATTTAATATAAAAAATTTTAATAATTATATTAAAAAAAAGGAAGAAAAATTTTTTACTAATTTGTACTCAATCAAAAGAAAACATTAATACTTAAATTAAAAAAAAAAAACAAAATTATTCAAAAATTGTTTCAATAGTTATTTAACATTGTAATAGTACCACTTGCTGTTGTTGTTGTGATGTTGCAGTTGTACTGTTACTGACTGTGGTCTCTAAAGTTTCATTTAAAACGGGATTAAGAGGAGAATTTAATAAAATATGTCTCGTGGTGGTGGTGGTGGTAGTGTTGTTAGTTTGAGACTGATGTTGTTGTTCTTCTAATTGTTGTGTTGTTATTACTGTCATAGTATTGGCCAAAAGTTGTTGCTGTTGTTGTTGTTGTTGATAATGATTATTATTAAGATTATTGGGTTTACTTAAATTATTTGGTGGTTTAACAATAACCGAAGTAGCTACAGCACCACACAACTTGGCAGATGTAGCAGCAGCAACAATTCCACTTGTTGTTGGTGTTGTTGTCGTGTGAGCTGCATTAACGAATTTGTTATTACTAGTATTGCTGTTGTTGTGGCTGCTGTTGGTGGGAATTGCATTCAAATTTGTATTTGCATTTGTATGTAAAAAATTGTTTTTTGATTGTTTGCTGGGAAACGTCTTATTATTCTGATTGTTGTTATTATTATTGGCATGACGTTTAGCTGTAGTCTTAGTTGTTGTTGTTGTTGTTGTTAATAATGTGGTAACATTATTGACATTTTCATATATTGCTGAACGTTGCATTGTGGCCGTTATGTTATTATTTGAATTTGTGTTATTATTACAACTGCTATTATTGTTACAGTTAGTAAATGTTGTTGTTGCTATTGTTGCTGCATTTGTTGTTGTTGTTGTTGCTGTTGAGGGATGAATGCTTGTCGCCGACGTTAGCAACGTTGGCAACATAACATTTTCAGTCATTATTGTCGTACTCGCACTTGCACTCGTCGTAGTAGTCATCGTCGTTGTCGCTGCTGCCACTTTCGACGATTTGGGCCTTTTTCAGTCACCAAAACGACTACAGGCCTTTTTCCACCTGCATTGAGTGCACCACATTTCGCGACGATCCATGCCGTATACTTTGCGACACTTTTTATTTTCGCCTCTTGTGCGACGATTCGGTGAGTTGGGAGTTTGTTTGTTGGCATGTTGCACAGCAACATGTTGTTGATGAACATGTCCCGCATTTGTTGTTGTTGCTGCTGCTGTTGTGGGACCGGATATAGCTGACGCCGACGCTAGAGCAGATACTGAGCTAGTATTAGAATTGGATTGATTTGTATTTGGGGCAACCATTCTATGGCTGGCAGTGGCTGTTGTTGGCGATTGATGTAAACGATGTTGCTGCTGCTGGAGTTGTTGATGTTGTTGGTGCGCCGTATTATCCTGCTGTTGGACATTTCTTGAGTGTGTATAATTTGGTGTTATGGTAACAGTGGCCAACTGTTGCAGCTGCTGTTGTGTTTGATGATGCTGGTGATGATGATGATTTGTAGTTGTCACTGTTACATTTTGTTGCGACAATTGTTGTAGCACACTATTGGCACTGCTGTTATTATGATGCAGGATTGTTGTTGCAGCTCCTGCAGCTGTTACTGTATTATTGGGGGGACTGTTTGGTGCCGGACTACTGTAGTTGTGATGTTGATGGACGTATGTTGGTGATGGATATGGCGCTGTTGATTGGGACGGACGTGGTGAGGCCCGAGCATGTTTTATGAATGTTGTGGTTGTTGTCGTTGGCTGTGGTTGCTGCTGCTGTTGTTGGCTATTGCTATGATAATTACTTGTAACGGCAGCAGCATGATGTTGTTGATGCTGGTGGTGTTGGTGATTGTTATTACTGTTAATATTTGAGGTGTTTGTATTGGATGTGGTAATCACTGTGCTGGCCTTGGCTGGCGGCCACGTATAATTATGATGGGCTAATGGCGATGTTGGTATACAGCTGGTATTATTATTTTGCAATTGTTGCAACTGCTGTTGATTGCTGCCCACATAAATAGTGTGTGTTTGATGATTGTTACTGCTGCTGCTACTGTGATGTTGTTTATTTTTACCGTTTTGCAATTGGGCTGCTGCACGTCCTTGTCTAATGTTTGTTGAAAATAAAAGAAATAATTTAAAAATTAAAAATAATTTTAATCTGTTACTAATTTAGGCAAAACTCACTTAAAATTCCCAACTAATTGTCTTTGGTATTCTGGATCTTCATGGGGCGGACGTGCCATGTCGCGGTGGCTAAGTGTAGGTGGTGATGTTGGACTAGGAGTTTTGCAGTCATCGTCATCATCTTCGACTTCTGTGTAGTAGAACTCCTCCTCATGGCTATCACTGTCATGACTGTCACTATCCAAGTGATGATCAGCCGTACGACGTAATTTTTTACTATAACTGAAATAGTAAAATAAAATCAAAATATAGTAAATATAAAGTTCATCAATAAAAAAAAAATAAAAGTAAATATTATATTTTAATTTAATTTTTATTTAATTTAATTGTGTATATGTTTTTAATAAAACAAACCAAAATTATTTAAAATAAATTAAAATTACAGTAATTTTTATGGAAACAGTATTATCATTTCTTCTCGACAGTTGTTGTATCATATTTGTTAACACAGTTAATTTATTATGTATACATATTTAGATAATACAGTTTTTCAAAGTAGGTGCAACAGTGTTCTGCGAACAAAATTAATAAATTATTTTTTATTTTATTTAAACTAAAAAATATAGTATAGAAGCAAAATAAAAAATAATTTTAGAATAACAATATTAAATAACAAACTATCTACATAATTTGTTCCAATAAAAACACATTTTAAATGAGTACTGCATTACCCTTAAACAAAACAGAGTTGTTTAGCTTTTAACATCTCTGTAAACTAACCCAAAATACAACACTGTCATTGACAGCCAGCTACTCGTTTGTTTGTTTTTTACTAGTCGTTTACGTTTTCTTGCATTTTTATCAATTCGTTTGTTTGCCCAGTGTTTGTGTGTTCACTTCTTTGCAAAACTTTTGCAAAATTTGTTAATTAAAGAAATAGCTGTGCTATTGAATTAAATTGAAAAGAATCTGGTATTGAAAGTGTTATTGTCAACAACAACTATAAAAGTTGCCACAAAATTGCAAATATTATTAAAGAATAAACAATTGCTAAAAACGGGAAACGTGTTTTGTCACTGCAGCAACAACAAAAGACAGCCTCAGCGCAGACAAACAATTTACCCAGTCAGCCAACCAGCAGCCAGTAACACAACCCCGCACAACACACTAACCAAATTTAACAAGCAAAAAAATTACAATAAAACACAAAAGTAAATTGTTGAGCAGAAGAAAGAAAAAATAGCAAGCGCATTGTCTTGGGCAACGGAAAATTATTGGAAAATAACAAAAACAATTTGATTGTCATAGAACAAAAGGGAACAATCAATAATTCATTATTTATTTATATTAAGGCTGAAAGTAAAAGCTGCAAAAAACAGCAAGAACATAACCCCTAAAATTTTTATTAGGCATAAAATACGTAGAAAGAGTTTTTACTACCAACAAACCACCAGCAAGACTAACAAGATTGAAAACAAACAAAATTGGCACGAAAATTCTATTTCATTTTAAGTCAACAAAGTCAATTATTAAATTTAAGTGTAACTTTTAAAGAAAAACAGTTTAAATTCTAAGAAAAAATTTAAGTAAAACAAGAGAAATGTCTGCTATTTCCTCGAATACTAGTATAGCGAACAATACAGCTAACAATGCCCTCGTTGTCGCCTCCTCCTCTTCCTCATCAACACCATCTGCACTAATACTAAATAGCAGTTCAGCAGCAGCTGTCGTGGGAAACAATGCTATTGTGCCTGTTGTTACAACTTCAAGCACAACAACAACAACTTTAATTGGTTCACCGGCCGTCAATAATTCTTCGGGCTTGAGTTCTAGTGGTACTTGTACATTTAATAGTGTTTTAATTAGTGAAATTTCTGATGAATCTAAATTAGAATTTAGTCCTAAATACAAGGGCATCTCAACATTATTGTGCAGTTATGATTCGCAAGGTGTACTTGTTAAAATTGCATTGGGTAAGTTGGTTAAAATAATCACAAAAATAACAAAGAAAACAAACAAGAAATACACACACTTAGAGGCATGTGTACATATTAGGGTTTCTAGATGGAAAAATTTCTTGTAAATTTCCAAATTGCATGTTTCATGCTTATATAGGCTGTTTAAATATTTTCTGTGGAATTTTTAGGAATTGAAGAAGTCTGGGAAATCAGAAACCCTAACACACACACGTACATACAATTGTAGACTTAATGAATGAAAACAAATGAAAAATATTGGCAGAGATGCACAATTTGATCCTTTTTTTAATGCAATTGAAGATGCAAAAAAGTATTTTTTACCTGAAATGAAATTTACTCCATTTTTGTTAGTACCTGTAGGTTTATTTTTAAGTAGCGAAGAGGTGAGTGAGATAGATGCCTAGGTTAAGCCTTTTAAAGTCGACAGATTGGTCCATTGGAAATATATATTTAGGGTTTCGAATTTTTTCAAATTTTGTTTCAGACAAAGACAAAATATTATTATTAATAAATGTTTAAAACTTTTTTAATATTAATCATACTAATTGTTTCACTTTTCCTCTATATTTCCAGAATCGTCACCCACAACTGTTTTAAAAGATTATTTGGTAACGTCGGATACAGATGCAGCTCAATTGGGACGTCAAACATTTGCCATATCTTTTGGCAATGATAATTTCTTATTACGTTTTCCCACTGAACAAGGTAAAAAAAAACTATAATTATTTGATAACAAAATCTAAACTTAATTTTGAAAATATTTTAATATAGAACAACAAAGATTCCGCAAGTTGATTGATCATGTTAAACGTTTACGACCCAAATCGGTCTTTTCACAAAGAACTGAAGAATCCTCGGCCTCACAATATTTTCAATTTTATGGCTATTTATCGCAGCAACAGAATATGATGCAAGATTATGTACGCACCAGTACCTATCAACGAGCCATTTTAGGCAATTCCATAGATTTTCATGTAGGTTCTTGATTTTATATAGTAAAACATTATTATTTTATAAAAATTTTATATTTTATAGAACAAAGTGGTGTTGGATGTGGGTGCTGGATCAGGTATTCTTTCCTTCTTTGCCGTACAGGCCGGTGCCGCTAAGGTTTATGCTATAGAAGCTTCCAATATGGCTCAATATGCCCAACAATTGGTGGAATCGAATCATGTTCAAGATAAAATCTTTGTTATGCCAGGAAAAATAGAAGAAATTGATTTACCCGAACATGTTGATGTTATTATCTCGGAACCCATGGGTTATATGCTGTACAACGAACGCATGTTGGAAACCTACTTACATGCCCGCAAATGGCTTAAGCCAAATGGTAAAATGTTTCCCACTCATGGTGATTTACATGTGGCACCATTTTCCGATGAGGCACTCTATTCGGAACAATATAATAAAGCCAATTTTTGGTATCAATCAGCATTTCATGGTGTCGATCTGACAACTTTGCACAAGGAGGGTATGAAGGAGTATTTCCGTCAGCCTATTGTTGATACATTCGACATAAGAATCTGCATGGCCAAGTCAGTGAGACATGTGTGTGATTTTTTGCGGGACAATGAAAATGATTTGCATAATATAGGTAATTATTATAAAGTCTCTTCAAGGAATTTGGTTAATTTTATGTTATTTTAGATATTCCTTTGGAATTTCAAATTTTACAAACTGGCATATGCCATGGCTTAGCTTTTTGGTTTGATGTTGAATTTTGCGGTTCCATACAACATGTTTGGCTGTCTACTTCTCCCACAGCTCCTCTAACACATTGGTATCAGGTACGCTGTCTCTTACCCATGCCCATCTTTATCAAACAAGGACAAACTTTAACGGGACGCGTACTACTCGAGGCCAATAGACGCCAATCGTATGATGTTACCATTGATTTACATATTGAAGGCACTTTGATATCCTCCAGCAATACATTAGATTTGAAAAATCCCTATTTCCGCTACACCGGTGCTCCCGTACAGGCTCCTCCCGGCACTTGTACCCAAAGCCCCTCCGAACAGTACTGGTCCCAATTAGATACCCAAGGCCAGCGTACAAGTGAGCATAGTTTTAATTTTAACAAATAGTTTTAAACATTCTGTTTGAGCTCTTTTTGGTAAACGTACATTTTGTTTTGTTGTTTCTGTTTGTTTTTTAGCTGGTAATATGGTTAATGGCATGGCTGTTAATGGCCTGACTGATGTTACTATGGATATTTCACATACGCTTATGCATCCTCAGTCGTAAATTATACTAGAACTAGAAATTTAAATAGAGAAACAAAAACGTACATACACACACTCATCTCCCCCTACAACCCCTCTTATAATCCTGCATTTTAAAATACCAACCAACAAACCACCTTTTAAAATAGTTGTTCCCTGTCCTTCCCCTCTGCTGCCCCACTTTTCTTTATTTTATATTAAGTTTTAAGTGTAAAACATTCATATATATAGTTTTTTATTATTATTATTTTAATTTATTTTTACAAATCTACTATATTTTTATACATATTTTTTATATACATACATATTTAGAAAATTTGTACGTTGATTTCATATTTTATTAAAAAAAAGAAAACAAACAAAAACAAACACCTAAAATCTTCCTTTAAAACAAAAAAAATATCACAGAATTTAGTTTTAGTTTAATAATATCTAAAGAAATGTTTGCTTAAGTTGATTTAACTATAATATTAGATTTAATTTTAATGTTTGTCATTTTCTCTAAAGAAAACGTATTTAAAATGATTTTGTTTAAAACTTTTGTAAAGTCTTTATTTTCTTTATTTTCACTTTATTATGTTGGTCTAAAAAAACGCTATTTTTTCCTTATACTTAATTGGTCTATGTTATGGTTTTTCACTTTTTTTTATAAAGATTTAAAGAAATTCGAAAATTTTTTTTTTGTTAAAAATTTTTTAATAAATTTTTTACATTTTTTTCAAAAATACTATACAAGAAAAAATTTTTTTGTTATTTTTGTATAGGGTTTAAAACTACTGAAACGGTTTTAATTTGGTGAAAATTTTAACACAAATTTGATTAGTTTTATGTAAAAATGTGTTACAAATGTTTGAAAAAAGAGGAAATTTGATCGGTTTTATTTCACTAACGAATTTGGTTTGTATAGTTTTGTTTATTTTATACAAATTTCTAAATATTTTAGAAAAACTTTCTAAACTATAAAAAATATTTGAGAAATCTCATGAAATTTGATATTAAACTTTAGTTTTATTTATTTTATTTTGCTTTAGAACTAATAAAAACAAATTCCAAATATAACTTTCTTCAGTTGTTTTAAATTTGGACACATTTTATTCTATATAAAATACTCGTATTAATATTAATAAAATCTATAATATTAAAAATAATATAGAAAACAAAACCAAACTATTTTTATAGCGTTAAATATATACATATATTATTATATACATAACACATATTTAAAATAGCAAACAATTTTTAGACTTTTAGAGACTTAAACAGAAAAATCATACAGTTTTTTTTTATAAAAAAAATCTAAAAAAAGCACTTTTAAACCTCAAAACTAAAAGCTTTTTTTCTAAGTTTGACTAAAATAGAAATTGTTAATGAAATTTTAAAAAACAAAATACACAATCAAGGAAACGAATTATAAACTAAATAAAATAGTTAGGATTTATTTAAATAATAGTAAAACACACCGCCATTTTTAAAACAAAACAAAATAAAAAGAAAAATCTATAAAAAAAAAACTTTTAAGTTTCCTTGAGTTTTAAAAGTTTAAACTGATATTATTTGTCTAACAAGCTTATTATGTTAAAAAAAAAACAAATTGTACTTTAGAGGGGTTAATTAATTAAATATTACAAAATAAAAATATTATATAAAGAAAATTGTGTTTTTAAAATGCTATCAATCATTTTATTATATAAATGATTTACCAAACAAATATATACAAGATGAAAAAAAAAAAAAACAACTGAAAACTATAAACATTCTCTATATAAAATGAAATTAAACAAGTAAAAAATATATAAAAACATTATTTGTAATAGTGTAGTAGTGTTTTTGCTATTAATTAATAATACATATTAATATATAAAGAAAAAATAAAAACCAATTACAATAAACAACCGAAAAAAAAAACAAAAATTCTATATAAAAAGCATAATAATGTAAATTGTTTTATTTGAAAAAAAAAAACTTTCTCTTGTTAAAGTTTTTCTATAAAACTTACTCTGTAGATAAAATTTTCTTTAAAAAAGTTTCTATAGATAAAGTTTTCTTCGGAAATATTTGTCCAGTTTAAGTTTTCTTTCGATAAGCTTTTCCAGCCAAAGTTTTATTCCCAAAAGCTTATCTAGAGTAAGTTTTCTTAAGAAAAGTTTCACTCGAGAAAGTTTTCTATAAAAAAGTTTATTTTCATTAAGTTTTCTTTAGAAAAAAGCTTCTCTAAATAAAGTTCTCCAAATAAAGTTTCTTTCGATATGTTTCCCCAGATAAAAGCTTTTCTAAAGTAAAGTTTCTTTAAAAAGTTTTCATCAAGTTTTCTTTATAAAAGTTTTTTTAGTTAAAGTTTTCTTAAGACAAATTTCTCTAGAAATATTTTCTTAAGAATTTTTTTAAAGTTCTCCATATAAAGTTTTTTCCGAAAAGCTTCTCTAGATTAAGCTTTCTTTAGATATGTTTCTCCATATAATGTTTTCTTCCGAAAAGCTTCTCCAGAATTGTTTTTTTGAAAAGTTCCTTTAGAAGTAATTCTACAGATAAAGTTTCTATCTGAAAATCTTCTCTAGATTAAGCTTTCTTTAGATATGGTTCTCCACATAAAGTTTTCTTTCGAAAAGCTTTTCTAAAGTATGTTTTCTTAGAAAAGTTTCTATTCATAAAGTTTCTTTATAAAAGTTTTGCTCTATATAAAAATTTCTTAAGAAAAGTTCTTTTAGAAATGTTTTCTTTAGGAAAGTTTTTTTGAAAATAGTTCTTCAGGTACAGTTTTTAACCGAAAAGCTTCTCTAGATTAAGCTTTCTTTAGATATGTTTCTTCACATAAAGTTTTCATCTGAAAAGCTTCTCTCGAGTAAGTTTTCTTTAGAAAAGTTACACTAGATAAAGTTTTCTTTAAAAATGTTTCTATTCATAAAGTTTTCTTTATAAAAGTTTCTCTAGAAATGTTTTCTTTAAAGTTTTTTTTCAGAAAAGTTTCTGTAAATAAAGTATGGAAATGATTGTTCAGAAAAATGTAGTTTCTCTAGGTAATGTGTGTTTAATGATTAATATAGCTAAAAATAAGAAAATTGCTTTAATGGAATTATGAGCTATATAATTTCGAGTATTCATTTATGTATTTTGTATAAAAAAATCTATTCATTTGGAAAATTTCATTAAAAAATTGCATATTCATAAACAAAAATTTTCTAGCTTAATAAATGTTTTACAGATATTTCAAAAAAATTATTCTATAAATTGCTTAATTATTAAAAATATGATATATTTTCATAAAGAAGACATAATTCCCTATACAACGATATATAGTATGTTTATTTTAACTTTATAATATTGTAAATAAAGGACTATAAAAAAATTTGCTTAAAATTGATGTTTACTCATGAAAACTGCTTTACCAATGACGGCATTATCAATCGTCAAAGAGAGTAATACAAAAAGTGATACAACTGTTGATACTGTTATATCATTAATTGTATGAAATTTATGAAAGTTATATTTGAAATGTTTTCTTATTTCCATTTATTTAAGAATAAATATTAACAATATAATTAATAGTAATGAAATTTACTTTTAATAAACAAATGTCTATTAACTAATTAATAACAATTAAACTAACTACATCCTTCATAAATTTTCAACGAATTTCCCAAAAAGCCCTCGCAAAAATGTTTTTGCTTATGAAAAAATTACAGTTTATTTTGTTTTATAATAAAAAAAGAATATTTGTATTCATTTTTTATGTTATGATTTTTTGTATACATTTGTTTTTTTGATTCTATAAACCTTGGCCTCAAATCCTAAATTGTTAACTTTTGCACCGGTAAATACGTGTATGACTGTGTGTATGTATATAAAAAGCCCACTTTCAATGCATTTTTTTGTTTGCTCTGAATACAAGTAACCTACTTTTCATGTAGTAAATAAGTGGTACAGTAGAGTACAGAACTATTTTGTGGCTGTTCTTTTGTTGTTGTTGTTGTTATGTCTTTGCTCTAAGGATTTGCAACGTATGTAAGGATGATTGCTTGCTTTCGTTTGGGTTAAAATGTGCGCGCGCGCATTTATTTTAAAAATATTGTTTTTTTTCTTCTTTCAAAATTCAAATACAAGTATTGTGTTGTAGTTTTGTATGGTTGTTGGTCAAGGCAATAAAAATATTGTTGGCGGTGCATAAATGTTGTAACATTGAGGAGTAAATACATATAAATGCACTTGCCAATATACTTACATATATACATACATATGTATGTATGTTTTTATATATATTTGTAGGTGGCCATGTATGTATGTAAGTATGTAGATTCAATGATATTATATATAATACATATGTATGTAAACTTTTACTGTATTACATATGTACATTTAACTACTACTACAGTTGGTTAATTTGTTTAAACCAAGGTTGATTTTATTTTTTTTCCAACAATTACTGGAGGGGTTTATACAAAAAAACACTTTTTTTGATGGGTGTTTAATATTTAAAATAAACAGTTGGCATCACTTAAAATTTATAACGGTAAATTAAGGAGAACAAAGTATGTTTGTTAAAAATTATAACTTTAACAATTTTTTATTTTAAAATTTAGATATTTGCTTAGTTAATTTTTGGCACTGCATAGCCGACCACTGCTTTAACAAAAATAAAAGGTTTTAAATGAATTACAAATGAATTTGGTTTCACCAGAAATTTCCATAAAAACACTTAGAAACTAAACTGAATTTTTAAATAAATTATTTTTGTTTCTTTAAAACGTTTTTTTTAAAGTTAATGTCTCGCCATTAATAATATTCTATTTACTTTCATGTTCAAACATGTCACAACAAAACATTTTCTCAATTTCCCCCGAGGACAATGAGTAATTTGAAAAATTTTAACTGTGACATTACTTATACGCCCCTAAACAACAACAACAGCAACTTTCACAAATTGTCTACATTTTACTGACCAATATTAATTATGAATAAATATTTAATAAGCAAACACTGACATATGTATTTATAAACTCAATGCAATTTAATTAAATAAATTTAAAGAAAAAAATTAAACATAATTTAATTGAAAACTTACCCAAGATGTACAATACGTATGTGACGTTCAATTTTGGCTTTTGTATGTTCACTAGTCGTGCAGCCTTTCCAGGTACAAACAAATTTTGATTTATTGGGCTGCAAGGAAAGAAATAAAAAAAAATCATTAAATTTTGTATGTCTTTTTTAAAAGAAAATATTAAAGGCCTACTTTGCGCCTGGTAATACGAGGATAATTTTTCATAATTTTTTTCTTTTGTATAAAAACACTAAAAAATATTATTTATTACTTTTTTTTTTTTATTTTTAAATATTTTATAAATATTTTTCTTGTTGTTTTGTTATTTTTTTTTTGGAAAAATTTTATTATCTTTTAGTTTTTATATTTTATAAAACCGGTGCGTGGCCGGTAACAGTTGAGAATGTAGTGGTAAAGCGGTAACAAAAATTGCATTTCAATTCTATGCTATTTTGAGCGCCATCATCAACATCGTCATTTCTATATGTGAAAGTATGTATTTGTATGTCCTTTTTATATTACATAGGCATGTGCTTATGTATTAATAAAAACGAAAGGATGCCGACATAAAACGATGACGAAATAACTCTTATTTTTTTGTTTCTTACAAACACACACTCTCATATACTTACACTCTCATTTTTAGCACCAGAACTTACAGGTTGAAAATGCCAAAACTGTAAAATAGGACTGTGCAGTAAAAAGTAGTTATTTGTTGCAAATGGTACAATTAACTTAAAATGGTACTTTTGCCAAAATTTGGCAGAAATCATTGAAAATTTTTAAAGATTTTATAAAAAAAACGGTTTAAAAATCCAGAAATTGCAGTAGTTATTTACATTTTCTTATTTTCTGTTTTGTTTGATAACACCTTTGCCGGTAAGGCAGTGACAAAGAACATACGGTAAAACAATAAAGTAAAAACATATTTTTTGCTGGTTGTTAAGTTAGAGGTCCATTATTTAATACATACAACGGTTAAGTTGGACTTATTTTATGTCAAATTGTAGGTAATCGTGTCATCTTTACAAAAATAAAAAAATATTTTAATAATATAAAAATGCATAAAATAGTTTTTGCAAAAATACAAATAACTTTTGGCAAACTTTTTTTAATAAAGTTTTTTTAAACAATTTCTCTAGATAAAGTTTTCTGTATAAAAAATTCCCTAATTAAAGTTTGCTTCAGAAATATTTCCTTAGATAAAGTTAGCTTAGAAAAGTTTCTTTAGAATGAATCCTCTAGATCTAGTTTTCTTTATAATAGCTTCTCTAGATCAGTTTTCTTTAGAAAAGTTTCTTTAGAAAAACTTCTATTTTAAAAAACTTTATGTAATAAAAGTTTTCTTTAGAAAAGATTCTCTAGATAAAGTTGTCTCAAGAAAACGTAGCTTTAGATAAAGTTAGCTTTAGAAATGTTTTTTTAGATAAAGTTTTGCAAAAAGGTTTTTATAGATTGTTTAATAATTTTAAAACACGATATATTTTCAAAAAGAACACACAATTCCCTACATAATGATATATAATAAGTCTATTTTATATTTTTAATTTGAAAACAAAAGGGTTTCAAAATTGACAAGTAGAATTTTGTTAAATTTTACTGTTTACTTTATGGTACTGCTTTAACAGGCACGGTCTTACCAAAAAAGGAAGCAGTGCAACTATATAAAGCTAAAACTGTTTAGATTTATTGAAAATTTTACTATTATTATTTCTTTTATAAAATTTAAATCGATTCAAATTTGTCTGACAGAAGTTACTTGGGAAAAAAGTACCCATTTGTAACTAAGTACCATGTTTACAAAACCTACTAATGCCGTTCTGCTGCATACCAAAAGGATACCAAGAAGAGATAGTAAGAGAGCAAAAGAGCGAAAGTATTATAAAGTAAATAAGAGTTGCCATGTTGATTTGTTAAAACAAAAGGTATGTTCAGTGTTAATTTATAACTTGCATGTGCATGCTGTTGTTATTATTGTAAATATGTATTATTAAAGTTTTTTTTATTTATTACATGCTATTGAAGTATGTTTTTGTATGTATATAGAGGAAAAAAAACTTTATAAAATTAAAAATCAGCACGAGGTCATAAATAACTACATAGTTATTTATATTATATATATTTAGGTATATATAAAAAATGTAAATAAAATGGTTATATATACATATGTATGTACAACAAGTACTTATTTATGTATTTATGTTTTAGAGTAAACTATAGTTATTGCAGTTTGTTTTACTCATTCCTTGGTATCGTTGGGTAATCTACTTTTCAATACATAAATGTTACAAACTGGGTCAATTTTTCTTGCTACAGCAGTTAAGAAGAAAAAAAGGTAATAAGTTTATATTTAATTAGTTATGTATATTTGCTTTTTTGTTGTTTGTTCCATTATTCCCATATATTTTCTATAATTTTTGCAAATTCATTTGTATTGTATGAACAAAAGAAGAAGAAAAAAAAAAGTTAAAAATTCAATTAACTAGGTTTGGCTTTATTGTGTTGCATAGCTCATAGCCTTGACATGTTTTTTTCTGTTTGCAACATAAAATCCTTCAACATATCATCAAGTATTTATGCATGATGTTTAGAAGCAAAGTTAGCAAACTATTTTTGTTGCATTATCCGTACAAATTTGTTTATAACGTAGAAATTCCCATATAATTTCATTTATTTCTTTTACAAATAAGAAAACATTGAACAGTTTTTGAAATACAGATTTTTCGTTAAAAATTTCAAAACTAAAAAAGTGTTGATAACTTGTTTTGCTTTTATAGCTTTCACATTTGAAATTGAATGCAGCATACCGTCAGGGTTGTGAGTAATAAAAGGAAATAATTAAAAAATTCAAACTAAATTAAGGTCATGAAGAATTTTTATCAAAGAAATCCATTAACAAATAATTCAAATATCAAAATTAGTTTTAAAACCCTTTAAAATTATATTATTCTGTAAAATATTAGAGAAAAATGTTGTAAGAACTTTCAAAATCATAATAAATCATAATTTTTCTCAAAAATTGTTTTCTTTTATTGAAATTTGGACAAATTTTAAAGATTAATAAATACTCCTTACTTTCAATAAAAAACCCCACAAGGATTTTGGATCTTACTAGTTATTTAAAATTATTAAATCCTTTGTGGTTTTCAATGGTGTTTTTGGAGAATTTTTTTATTTTAAATAACATGAAGCGGTAAAATATCCTGTGAAAATTATAAATTCTAATTCTAAACATTTATTTAACCTAAAAAAGTAGAAAATTCCTTTAAAAATCTAAAAATATTTGCCATTGTTTACATTTTTCTCTTGTTTTGTTTGGTAAAGCCGTGGCCGCTAAAGCAGTGTGCAAGAATTTTAGATAAAACAGTATGTATGTACGAATGCGGGTTGTTAAGTTTGTATTCAGTTATTTCTGATATAAAACAGATAAGTTGTATTTTTTTTCTAAAATAAACTTTAGATAAACAGGTCTTGTTAACAAAAATACAAGAAATTTTTATTAATATAATAATGCATAAAGTAATTTTTGTAAAAATTAAAAAAAAGTTTTTTGTTGCTAAAATTTGGACAGTTATTAAAATTTTATTATTAAAAATCATTGAAATTTTCATAAAAGTATAAAAAATCATTAAACATTATATTATTGTTTAGAAATGTATAAAAAATAAGTTTTGTTTATTTTCCAACATCCTAAAATTTTCTTTTAAATCTGGGGTTTCTTTATAAGATTTTTCTTGTGTATACTTTAACAAATTAATATGTACATATGTATGTTTGTTTATACTTTTATGTACTAACTAAGTAAATATATACCTTTATATGTATGTTTATCTAGTTTGCCCTGTGCCACTAACCCAATTTCTTTCATTGTCGTTATTTCTTTTAAACTTCATGATCAAAAACATCATCATCATCATCAACATCAGCAACGACATTGTTGTCTTTTAGTTTGTAACAGTTTTTATTTCTAGACTCCTAAAAGTATGTTTTGTTTATTTTTTATAGGCAAGCATGCATTATTTTGTTTAGTTTGTTTTTCTCTATACTGCGTGTTAGTAATTTATTTTGTTGTTATTTATGCATTTTATTTTAATGACATTTCTAATTTGCATGACACTTTATTTTCGTATTTGCAACGCATTGCTATGATGATGCTACTGATGATTATGGCTGGCTTTTTTGTTGGCGATGATGATGATGTTGTTGATGATAATGTTCATGTTGAGGCTGCCTGCTGTTGCTGTTGACCCACTTTTCTCGAGATTTTTCGTAATTTGTTGATTTTTAGTGTGTTTGCGTTTATATTTTATACACATTTTGTGTCAAATATAGCAAAAAAAAGTATGTCAATACTAGTGCTTAAATATAAAAATTTTTTGTAAAAATTTTTCAAGGTTAAGCAAGTAGTAGTAATATAGAATTTTTTTTTTTTTTTTTTTTTTGCATAGAAAATGCAAATTTTTGTTTGACTGCTAAAAAGTGTGAATGATGCTTTGGACTTTGAGTTATATGGAAAATATAAACTTGAAAAAAATTTTCTGATGTTTTTTATTAATGACAAGAGTGGGTTAATGTTTATTTATATAGCAATTTTAGGTTAAAGTTTAGATTTGTAAAGAATTTTTTATTTTAAGAGAAATTGATTTTAAATTGCTAAATATTATTTTCTAAATAAAGTTAAATTTTATTAAGTTTCTTCTATCATGTGTCAAAATCTTTTTCCTTGGGCTAATTTTAAGAAATATGCTTCGCTTTTTAAGTTTAATGGAAGTAGAACACATTTTTTATCTTTTGTACAAAAAAGTCTTTTATAATTTGTTTAATTATTGAAAATATATTATATATTCAAATAGAAGACATAATTCCCTTTACAATGATATATAATAAGTCTATATTTTCTTTCTAATTTAACAAGGAAAGTGCTTCAAAGTTGACAATCTTTAGAAAATTTGCTAAATTTGATTGTTTATCTTAAGCGCTGTTTTATCGACTACGGCCTTACCCAATAAGAAAGAGAGCAGTAATATGAAGGTAGTACAGTTACTATTAATTTAAAATGCAATTATTTACTATTTTTAAACTTTAAAATGGTTAAAAAACCCAAAATTAGTATAATTTTTCATTAAACAAGAGTTGTCCTCTTAGTTAACTTTGTGATATATGA